CACTGTCTGAGGAACCCCCCATGATTGGAGACGTTTAGTGAAAACGTTAATCCCCACAGTCAGGGTAAATGAACTAGAAAGAGCTCTCAGAAATCTCTCTGCTGCCATGGAAGCCACAGACAATTCGCACAGCAGATGCCACTTCAGCCCCGCAACAGGAAAATTCTCTTTTAGCTTTGACAGCGGCACAAAATCATCTAGTACTTGCTATGCTTACCCTGCACCAAGGAGGTTCCTGTGCATTGATTCACAGCACCTCTTGTGCCGAGGTTAACAAATCTCAACAAAATCAACACAACGTCCCGTACCACTTCCAAACTTTTCTAAATGTTACATCAGATCACAATAGCTCCAGGTGGATTTTCACTTTCTGAGCTGTTTAGTTGGATACCATCTCATTATGGTACACCAGAAATCACTGGGCAACTTTACTGATTGATTTGAATACCAAGAGGGAAGGGCAATGATTAGCATATTCATGTTATTTCCTGGAAAGCATTATCATATGCAAATGTCTCTAACCCACGTGTGGATATGTTGGACGGGGGTCCTCTGGTGCATGTCGATAGTCTTCCTCACCGTGTGCGCCGGTTGAACTCCATCCTTGCGCACGCTCATTTCATCTTTGGCTGATCTTCCAAACGAACACCAGTCCCTTCTGGTACCTACTCAAGGTCCATAACCAGCACCCAGTGTTTTAATTCGGAGTCCATAACGATTCGTACAGAGATCAAGGCACACCCCACCCCAGCTCCCTGTTCCTAAGGGCCTGAGCGTGCTTGCTCTTCTCCGAGCTGCTGTCGCTCCCCCTGAAACCCCAAATCCCATTGCAACCCCCCACCCCAACACTAACCCCGGCTGGCTCCCAGCTCTTTCCTTCGGTGCCCGCAGCAGCCCCGCCCCCGGGCCGGGGTGGGGGGGGCCCGTTCGGCCGTGTGCGCAGCGGGGCTCATACCATGGGGGCCGCGGCCGGGCCCTAGGGGCCCCAGGGGCGGGGCAGGGCGGGGCAGGGCGGGGGCTGCCTCCTTGCCTCCGGTTCGCCCGCCCCCAGGCCCCCGTCTCCACCCCCGGGGGCCTGCGGGGACCCGGCGCAGCAGCCGCAGCGTGGCAGAAGCGGCAGCGGCTCTTCGAAGGAGACGCCCCGCCGGCATTGCCGGCGCCCCCCGTCGCTGGCGGGGTCCCAGTGCTGCTGCTGGCCCCGCCACCGCCGCACACCCCCGCCGGGCAGGGGTCAGTGTGGGCTGTGGGGCCGGGCAGGGAGGGAGGAAGAAGAGGCGGAGGAGGGGCCGGGGCTGGGTCGGAGGCGGGCACAGCCTTGGCGCAGGGAGAGAGGCTGCCGGAGCCTGGCGGGGCGGGGGGAGACCAATTTCTTACATGTACAGATACTACGCAAGATCCTCATCATTTTTGTATTTTTTTTGTATCTCCTACTGCCGATTTCCCAGTTTTGTTTACCTGCCGCTAATCCTATGTAGTTTAGCAGTTCCTACAAACAGAAGAAGACTTCTACAGAAACCTGATAATTTTGAACCCACTTTATGTTTCTGTTTGCTTTGAGTTGAGGCTGATACTAAACCAAACAAGGTTTTGCTTCTGAAGAGCATGGTACTGGCTATGTTGAGTCTGCTTCCCATTGGCCAAGTGTTTTCATTCATCCAGCACTTTGTATGTGTTGATGCATCTGTGATTTTCCTGTCATTCAGTGTTCTTGTCCAGTTAGGCAGAAGTGCTGTGCTACAGAAGAAGATTACATGCTTGACTTTTGCTGAAGTAATTAACATACAACTGGACCTGCCTTCTCCAGTTTAGTTTATGTATGCTAAGATAGCTTTGTAACACATACTGACCAAAACAAGGGGATGCAGGATGGCAGTACAGCTTCCTGGAGTAATTTCTGGAATGCTGTTGCTTGGGTCTCACAGTGACAGTGTTTGAAGTCCTTGTCTTTGTATTAGGATATTCAGCATAGGAGAAAAGAAAAAAAGGACATACACAGGTATTTGACTTTGGAAAGTTGTCATGCTTGCTGAGTGGTTTCTGTTTAGCACTATTTTGTGTTATCATCTTTATGCTACTGAAGTTAAAAGAAAAATGCTTAGAAAATAAGTGAGAAAGGAGGAGTGTCTTTGACTTTCACCTGCCAAGTTTCTTCTGTGAGCTTGCATGTGTGCGAGGCTCAGGATGCTGTACCAGTCAGTAGGCTTATTAGGCTTATTTCAACATTGCTCAACAGAGCCGAGACCTTGAATACGCAATTAAGGATGGACACATCTCTAACTTGAGTAGCGGAACAAGCTGTAGTAAGGTATCACATCAAAGTCTGACCCACTAGAAATGGTAGATGATACAAAAACACTCACTTAATTTTAAAGTACCTGCTCTTTAGGTCTGCTGAAGTGATTAGTCACCTTTTTGGTTTCTGTTTAACTTGATTGCTGACACAGCGTATTTTTTTGTTCAAGGTTTTTCATATCAAAGTAAATTACAAGATACAGGATGGATTTGTTTTGTGAACATCCCTTTTACTAGGCAAAACTTCACATGCTGCTGGAGTATGTCTGTTTTCACCAGAACTATGAATATGCTAGAAAGGAGCTCTTCTTAAAACTTGTAATTGAGTCAAGTCTGGAAATTAATAATGCCAGCCGAGTGCTACAAGTGCATACGATAATTACTTGTATGCTTGCTAAAAGTTGTGGAGTGGCTGGAAGCAAATAGGCACGTTGTGAGCGATCCAGACCAAGGGGCCTCACAACCGCAGCTGTTGTGAAGGACATATGCAAGGTGGAAAGAGATAAGGAAATTGGGGTTTTGAGAAACTGCCTATGTTGCAAAGAGGTAAGGAGGTTGGAATGTAAAAAAGAAGATAAAAATTTGTATAAACAAAATGTAGGTATGGCAGAGCAAGGCGTGTGAACTTTAACCTAATAGCAACCAAAGCTTTAACCTAATAGCAACCAAACATAACACGTGCGCTTTGTGCTAGTGTATAAATTGCTGTGTATCCTTTAATAAAGTGGCATTAACTTGATCACAATGATCGTGCATGTTGTGTCTGAGACTTCCGCGTCACCACGCTGCACTAAGCAATCCCTGTCTGTCTTCTTCCTTTCCCTGGGAACACACAAACACTAATCAGAGCCAGAACAGCGCTTTTAGGCTCACAGCGAGAACTTCTCACAGAAAGCGCTAGCACGTACGATCGTCGCTGTACAGCAGTCTCCCCTCCAAACTACCACTGGTACGCTAAGCAATCCAGCTCTCTCTGCTTCCTTTGCCTAGGAACACACAAACACTACGCAGAGGCTGTACAAGCTCTTTTAGGTTCCTGGCGAACTTAAACTGCTTTGTGCTTATATTGTCTGTAAATGTGACTCGAGTGATGCCCAGCAACTTGGTGAATCGTATTGTTTATCATTTACCTATTTTAGGAGGGTGGGGTATTAATCCCATATGACTTTCTGCTTTTTTACATTGGTTTATACTTGGCTTTCACTAGTGTGACATTCATCTGTAACCCTGTGGTCAGTCTGCTGTGAAAATAATCCTAACGTATTGTATATTCTGTATCCTGTAGGCAAAGAGGAAGCAATTGTTTGAAGCATGGTGACAACTGTCCGATTCTCAACAGCAGGTATGTCAGTGGGTTTTGGTGAGGCTCTGATCTAATTGGAAAATTACAAACTGGAGTCAAAATTAATAAATTCATAGGAAATCTTGAACTCGGTTGCTCAAAATATAATACTGAGGACAATACTCTGAGATCTTATTTGTACGCCTTGAAAAAGATCGTCATTACTTTTATTCCAGTAGTGACCATTTCTTTCACAGTGTTGATGAAATGTGAGTCAGTGGGATGGGATGGAAGTTCTGTATGCCTGGAAATGGATGCTGAGCGGCATCTAGGGAGGAAGGTGGAATAATCTGCAACAGTTTGGGTTTTTTCTAATAATACTCATTTTTAAATGCCAGCATAGTAATTTGCTGCTCATGGAAAGACTTTGGACAGGTAAAAGCAACAGAAATCTACAGGTAATGTGCACGCAGTAATTTATTAATTTTGGTTGTCTTGAGGATACTTTTTTGCCAGCTTTCTCAGTGTATTGAAATACGAACCTGCAGATGGGGGTATTGAAAATTGGAGGGGTGCTATACCGAAATCTAATCTAAACCTCCCAATTTTCAAGTATTCTGTACCTTACCGTCCTTCCTCCTGAATGCCCTTCTTCCAGATTATTTTGAATGCGTTCTTAGAACTATGCACTATGTTCATGTTTTTTTTCTGTAGAAAAAGAATTTGAAATAGTTCTGCAGAAATATCAGTTCCTGTTTCTTACATAAGCCATCTCTCTCAGACTAGTACTCCCATAAAAGCCTTAGCTGTTAGTAGTCGTACTGAATAAACTTCCTCTTCAGGGATGTCAATCTGTTGACATAACCACAGTTCAATACTAAGGTTTTGTATTTTTATGTTGGATGTTTTTTGAATTTTCTGAAGGTGAAAGTGGATGCCTGGGATGTGCACTACACAGGTCGTGTAGTAAGTCACCTCTGTATCAAAGAGGAGGATGTGACATGGCAGTTATCCTGACAAAGCCCCTTCTGTAACTGTTGATACCTTATTTTCTCCCAGCCATACGTGCAGCTTGCTGAAGATGATAAGGTTCGGTACGAGAATGAAATGCAGTTGTGGGAAGCAAAAATGGTCAAACTTGGATGTGAAGACCTGATACGTTCCAGAAAGCAAAGCCAGAAAAGAAAACTGCTGAAACCTGTAAACAAAGCTGAAACAGCCAAAGCTTCTTCATATGAAAACGAGGCAAAGTTAAAGTTGAAAAAATCGGAAGAATGAAATGGTTAAGTATTTTATATTTGATGCCCTTTGGTTGTCATGTCTTTGTCCTGCTGTGTTAATGCTGCAGTCTGCATTAGCACCAAAATTTGGAGAACCCATAAAGGGCCCACTGGAGAAGTAGAAAAGATGATCAAGGTAAGAGAGGATGCGGTATCTCTCAGAACTGACTGAAATAATCATTGCAGTTGTAGCCTCAACTGTACAACAGTAACTGGTTAATCAAGCTGTGAATAGTGATACTCACTGACATCAGCAGAGCTCTCCAGTAATGGTAGATAACGGCTAGCTTTTATAAGATATTTTTAATGAAAGCAAGAATATTCTGCAATGTTACCAGTCTAAATGCTGTAAATAAGAGCTGAAATCTGAGTTAATGCTGCTGTGTTTTATTCCCTCTATGGTATTGGCAGTGAAATGTTCTACATTTCAACAAAAGGCACAGGAAAGGTAAAATACTAACTTTTATTTCATGCATCTTTTTGTACGAATCAATCAGTGTATACCACTTATGTTGCATTTCACTTAAAGACCACATGAGTTTTGTGTAAACGTATCTTTACAGGACTTTTATTCCATGGCTTTGTTTGGATACATGCAAACACTTTTGCCTTCCTGTTGTCACATTTGGGACAGCCTGGAAGGAAGAGACTATGTGTGAACTGTTAGAACTTTGAGTTTGGATGTAATAAATGTAGGTATTTTGAAGAGGTGCTTGTTTTTTTCTACCGGGGTCTGTCTGACTTAGTGAAAGCCTCATAGGTATATTGGAGAGTCTATTTTTAGAAGGAAGGCAAGCTTTTTCAGCAGGCAGTGGATTTCATCCATCCCGAATGACTCACAAAAGCCAGCAAAGCTTCGTTTTACCAGTGGGAAGTGGAAAGCCAAAGAGGAGTTGCTCGCCCGTTTGTTTTATCTGTTTGTTTTCCGCTGGTTTTAAAATGTACTGCTGCTAACTGTGTCTGAGCGCACCTGGCTTTCCTCCTTCGCAGGAGAACACAGAGCTGCGTCCCGAGGGCGGAGGCTCTCGCTCCTCAGCAGGTTCCCGGCCCGTCCCTGAGGGGCAGCCGTCCGCACCCAAACCATCCTCGGAACGGCGGGGGAGCAGCGGGGAAAGCCGGGCCGGCTGCAGCCTGGCCGCCGGCGTCTGCGCAGCTCCTGCCTGCTCCAATTAATTGTGTGGGAAGCCTTCCCCCTCCCCTGCCGCCCCCTGCGCCCGCCCGCTGGAGCGGCTGGAGCCGCGGAGGGGAGCGGAGCGGAGCGGAGCGGGGCCGAGCGGCGCGGTGCGGCTGAGGGGGGGGAATCCCGCCCGCCTCCCTGAGGGCGCTGCTGCCGCCGTGCCACGCATGTGCTGGCCTCAGGCTGGCGAGGGGAGGCCGGGCAGGCTGGGGCTGCTGGAGCCGTGCGGGGCCGCCTTCGGTTCTGCCGAGCGCTGCTGCGTCCTGGGTACCCGCCGGCGGGCCTCGCCGCAGGAGATCCAGCTGCGGCTGCCCCCGTGCCTCGCTCCGTGTCCACCCCGGCCGCGCCGAGCCCCACGCCAAGGAGGAGGCGACGCGGCGGTTCCAGGTGAGGGAGGCTGCCGGCCGCCCCGCTGCTGCTGGCCTGACCGGCCGGCCCCTCCGTGCCCGCAGATCCTGGGCAAGGCCTACGCCGCCCTCAGCGAGGCGGAGCAGCGCGCCCTGTACGGTGAGCAGGGCACGGTGGAGGAGGAGGGCGAGGTGCTGAGGGGCGAGCGGGACTGGCAAGAGTACTGGCGGCTGGTCTTCAAGAAGGTAAGAGCTGGGCCGGGGCCCCGCAGGGCTCGCCTGGGCGGGGGCAGGCCCTGCAGGAAGCGGGGAGCTCCCTGCTTCGGGCTTGTGGCCGTGTCTCCCTGGCGAGCTTCAGGTAAAGCACGTGGCTTCTCTTGTTTTGCTATGTTTTGTTTTGTTTTGTTTGTTTGTTTGTTTTTTTTTTTTTTAACGCTGTCTCTGAAATCCATCTGGTGAATTAATCATGTAACTCCAGAAGTGTCACTTCTTTGCTTCAGATCACAGTGAAAGATATTGAAGACTTCGAAAAGAGCTAGAAAGATTTGGACAAAGAGCTAGCTGTTATTAAAGCAGCGTACGTGGATTTTGAGGGTGACCTGGACAGAATAATGGAGTCTGTGTTGTGCGTGGACTATACAGATGGACCAAGAACATGGAAAATTGTAGAAAAAGCCATTGCCTCTGGAGAAGTCCCATTCTACAAAGGTTTTGTAAGAGAGTCTAAGCAGAAAATGATTGCGAGAAAAAAGGCGGGTAGGTTATATCAATCCGGGACCAAAGGGAAGCATTTTTTTTATGCTAAGTTTTAATCTTCCTTGTTAGAAATAAAATGGAACTGTTCTTGAGGCAAATGTTTGCTACAGGATTTCTGGGTTACAGATCTTGCTCTGTGTCTTTGACTTTCACATTTGGACACCTGTGTTCTCACCCCTCCCCCCCCCCCCCCCCCCCCCCCCCCAAATTGTTGTGAAAGGCTTTTGAGCTGTGATAGGTTGCTGCTAATCTTTATTCCTTTGTTTTATTATTAATTCTTTATTTTATTATTATACACAATGGCTTATTACAGTTTAGCATGTCCCTGCATTTATTTACACAGCTATGAGTTGCTGGAGTTCAGTGTACGTGGTAGAAATATGTTATGCTTGCCTTCTGGTGAGTGTGAAATAACATTCTGGCCTAAATGGACCTCTTCTTCAATGTGGGGTTTTTTGAACACTTTGTAGATCTTACATGCACATCGCAGTAACCGTTCTCTAAGTTAAAGAAAATGTAATAGCTGCCAAGACAAAAAAAGTGTGGGTGGGGGGAACAGGGATAGGCATAGACATCACATTCAGCATTGTGAAACAACAAAAAACTGTCCCGCTCTACTAAAGCCAGAATGGTCTTTCTTTCACCAGTTTGTCATCTGTGGCCAAATTTGGAAATGATTTGTGTTTCCTTGCAGCTAGTTGTATACAGATTAAAAAAAAAAAAAAAAAAAAAAAAAAAAGTTTCATAACTATTATAAGACTTTGTCAAATAACTTGCAAAATACTTGTTAAAAACTAGTTTGCTATTTTAGGCAGAAAAAGAAGCTAGAGAGGCAGAAGAGACTAAAGCTGAACTGGGACTTGGTGGAGAAGATGATTTGAAAGCGCTGATTCAAGTAAGGCTTTTTCTATCTGCTGAAGAGAAGTATGTTACTGGCCTATAATTCTGTTCTCCCTGAGCCTCTTTGTAGTTTGGATCCTTGCAACTTGAGAGTTCTGAGGTTAAAACCTGACCTTAATGTTAGCTACCTATGTACTTTACTTAATAGTCAGTGTGGTATGGATTTTACTGCCTGCGTCTTTTGAAAATTAACAAAGTTATTCAAATATCCTTATGGCATGCACAATCAAAATATTTAACTTCTAGTTTTAGGTAGGTAGACAGGGAGTATTAATGATTCTTTCCCTGAGGGATTCCATCAGGATGCAGAAGCTGATAGGTCTTACTGTTTTGTATCTTGAGGGCCGAGGAAAGAAACATAGTTTACATTCTGCTTTTTGGAATGTTTTCTGTTTCTCATCATCCAGTGGGCTTCCTAGAACCTTAATGCTTAATCATTCCTCAAACTGTAGTAGAGTTTTGGGTCTAAACTTGGAAATTGTTTTGCTTTTCCTAGGCTTATGTTGGGAATTTTTATAGCCACTTTACTTCCATCTCGATACTTCAGGAGAAATTAGGTATAGAGCCTAGAGTACACAAGTAGAATTTTGCTTGATAGTACTATACTTTGTATTGTATTATATTTGTATAGTATTATACTGCTTGCATTCCCTGTTTAATATATTCCAATATTTTATGTAGCTGTCATACTATCAACTTCAATAGAATAATCTGTACTAGGAAGTAGTAAAAGTTTTGGGTCGGTTTTCTTTTTTAATTTCCTTTCCCCCAGAGCAGAAGTAAAGATCGAAAAAGGGAAATGGATGACTTTTTGGCCCAACTGGAATCAAAATACAGGAAAAATGCTAAAAAAGGAGAAAAGACGACTGCAGCCAAGAAAGGAAAGAAATAAAGAACTGTGTAGGCTGAGATAGCAGGTATCATTTTGTACGGGATCACGTGGATTTGGGAGAATTTCAGAGTTTTTCTGGGCTACTGTTTCAGAGTGTGTGCATCAGTTTGCTGTGACTGGGAGGTAGGATACAGAATGCATCATGAACAAGACAAAGCATTCTGGTGCTACTCTTTAAAAATCCTTTGGGTGTTCTTCGGTTAAGATCAAACAGATTCCTGAGTAAAAGTTGTTACAGTAAGGAAGCAGTGTGAGGTTTGGGACCATGGTGCGTTTATTAAACTTCTTTGGAAGCACCTTCCTTCCAAACACCTAATAGATATTGGTACAGTTGATGGTAAAACGGTGTAACCCCTCACCTTTGAGAGTCTTCAGTGGCGATTCCTGCGGTTTCTGAGTTGGAAACCTTATCTTTTTGCTAGTCACATGTTTCTTATGTAACAAACCTTCTGCTGTTTGTTAAAAGTCCTTGAACTTCATCTCAACAGGTATTTTCAGTGGTTTTCTAAAGATACTTTGGAATATTGCAGATTTAATAGAGGAAAAGTTTTCATAGAATTCTGTGCTAAGTTGCTTCCCCAGCCCTCTCTAGGTTTTCTATGTAGCTGTTCAAAACAGTGTCGACTCTTCTGACTGATTGAAGTCAAGTAAATACTACACACTTGTATAACAGCTGTAACTATGGCTGCATTGTTAACTGCGATGTCAGTGCTGGTGATGCCATGTTCCATGAAAGGGCCAGCTCGTGTTTGGCCTTGGATTGCCTGTGGCAGATGCCTTAGGAAGAAGACTGCAGCATGTATGTCACTGTGCAGGAATCCTCTGACACACTGAGGTGAGGCAATAGCTGAAAAATCCACAGGAGAGAGTCAGTTCAGTGCATTTCTAGGGTTTGTGATGTCCCGTGACAAGGAGTTCCAAAGCTCAGAAATGCATTGCTTGTTATTTCAATAGCATCACAGTCAAGTCTGCTGTAGGGTGGTAGCGATTATCTACTTCACTATATTTGTCAACCCTTCTGTTATTTCAGAAGTGAATTCCTTAAGTAGGATCTGCAAATACTTGAAAGGTTTATGCTTCAGCTGTTTTTAAACCACCTGACAATGTGTGGGAGTATGAAATTGAAGGGTAATTAACTAGTTTTCAACTCTGTCACAAAGGGATGAGGCAGGCTTTATTTTGTGGATCATTTTTCAGAGGCTTATGAGCGACAAGGGGAACACTTCCTTTTGAGCTGAAAGTCCTCACTGCTTCAGTGATAGCATTCAGGAGCTGGCTATTTAATAGAGCTTCCCAGGGGGAAGCTAGAGGTAGATAGTAACTATTCCCTTACGTGGATTTTTTCAAAAATTATCCTGATTCTGAGAGTACAGCATATCTCTGTGTGGCACAACACATGGACAGTAACCCTAACACCTAACCCTAACCCTAACTCTAAACCTAAACCTAACCCTAACCCAAACCTAACTCTAAACCTAAACCTAACCCTAATCCTAAGCCTCACCCTAACCTAAACCTAAACCTAAAACTAAACCTAAGAGTAACCCTAACAGAAACCCTAAAATTAAGCCTAGCCCTAACCCTAACACTAACCCTAACACAAAACCTAACCCTAAACATAACCCTAACCCTCAACCCTAAACCTTACCTTAACCCTAACCCTAACCCTAACCCTAACCTAACCCTAACCCTAAACCTAGCCCTAAACCTAAACATAAACCTAACCCTAACACAAACCCTAAACCTAACCCTAAACCTAACCCTAACCCGAACCCTAACCCTAACCCTAAGCTAAGGCTAACACTAAACCCAAGCCAAACACTAAATTTAACCGTAAACCTAACCATAAACCTAACCCTAACCCTAACCCTTAAAGCTAACCCTAACCCTAACAGTAAAGCTAACCTTAACCCAACTCTAACTCTAAACCTAAACCTAAAACTACCCCTAAACCTAACTATAACCCTAACCCTAACATAAACCTAAACCTAAACCTAACCCTAAGAGTAACAATAACCAAAAACTAAAATTCACCCTAACCATAACCCTAACACTAACCATAACAAAAAACCTAACCCTAATCCTAACCCTAACCCTAACCCTAAAGCTAACCCTAAACCTAACCCTAAAGCTAACCCTAACCCTAACCGTAACCCTAACCATAACCCTAAACTTCACCCTAAACCTAACCCTAACCCTAACAGTAACACTAACCCTAACCCTAACCCTAACAGTGACACTAACCCTAACCCTAACCCTAGCATAAACCTAACCCTAACCCTAAACCTAAACCTAACCTAACCCTAACGCTAACCCTAAACCTAAACCTTACCCTAACCCTAACCCTAAAGCTAACCCGAACCCAACCGTAACCCTAACCCTAACCACAACACTAACCCTATAACTAACCCTAAACCCTAATCCTAATCCTAAAATTAACCCTAACCCTAACCCTAATCACAACACTAACCCAAACTTAACACTAACCCTACAACTAAACCTAACCCTAATACTAACCTAACCTTAACCCTAAACCTAACCCTAAGAGTAACCCTAATCCAAACCCTAAACCTAATCCTAACCCTAACCCTAACCTAACCGTAACCCTAACCCTAACACTAAACCTAACCCTAGCACTAACCCTAACGTTAACCCTAACAATAACCCTAACCTAACCCTAAACCTAAACCTAACCCTAACCCTAACACTAACCCTAACCTAACCCTAACCCTAAACCTAACCCTAACAGTAACCATAACCCAAAACCTAAACTTAAGCCTAACCCTAACCCTAACACCAACCCTAACACAAACACTAACCCTAACACTAAACCGAACCCTAACCCAAACCCAAACCTAACCCTAACCCTAACCTAACCCTAACCTAAAAACCCTAACCCTAAACCTAACGTTAACCATAAACCTAACCCTAAATCTAACCCTAAACTTAACCCTAACCCTAACCCAAACCCTAAACCCAACCCTAACCCTAAACCTAACACTGACATTAACCTAACCCTAACACTAAACCTAACCCTAACCCTTACTCTAACTCTAAAACTAGCCCTAACCCTAACTTTAACCCTAACCCTAACCCTAACCCTAACCCTAACCCTAACCCTAACCCTAACCCTAACCCTAACCCTAACCCTAACCCTAACCCTAAACCTTACCGTAACCCTAAACCTAACAGTAACACTAACCCTAACCCTAATCCTTAGACCTAAACCTAAATCTAACCCTAAACCTAACCCTAACCTAAACCTAACCCTAAACCTTACCCTAACCCTAACCCTAACCCTAATCCTGAACCTAACCCTAACCCCTAACCCTAACCCTAACACTAACCCCAACCCTAAACCTAACCCTAACCCAACCCTTACACTAACCCTACAACTAAACCTATACCCTAAACCTAACACTAGCACTAACCCTAACACTAACCCTAAAACCTAAACCTAACGCTAACCCTAAACCCAACCCTAAACCTAACCCTAACCTTAACCGTAACCCTAAACCTAAACCTAACGTCTAAACCTAAACCTAAACCTAACCCTTACCCTAACCTAACCCTAAACCTAAACCTAACCCTAACCCTAACCCTAACATTAACCCTAAACCTAACCCTAACTCTAAACCCTAACTCTAACCCTAACCCTAACGCAACCCTATTCATAAGCCTAACCCTAACCCTAACCCTAACCCAAACTCTAAACGTAACGTTAACCCTAACTCTAACCCTAAGCCTAAACCTAACCTAACGCTAAAACTAACTCAAACCCTAACCCTATCCCTAACCCTAAACCATGACCCTAATCGTAAAACTAAACATAACCTTAACCCTAATACTAACCTTAATGGCTAACCCTAACCAAAACCCTAACCCTAACCCTAACACTAACAAATAAAACTAACCCTAACCCTAAACCTAACCCTAACCCAAACCCTAACTCTAACCCTAACCTAAATGCTAAACCTAACCCTAATCCTAACCCTAACACAAACCGAAAACCTAACCCTAACCCCTAAACCTAACCCTAACCCTAAGCCAACCCTAACAATAACCCTAACCCTAAACCTAAACTAACCCTATCCCAAAACCTA